TTCCACTTATATTAACTCACTTAATGCATGCAACAATGCCATGAGGCACTGTTTTTATCATTTGCATATTTATGTATAAGGAAACAAAGACACTAATATTAAGTAGTAAGTGGCATAAATAGGAGTCGAAGCTCCATAGTCTATTAATAGTTTTAGAGTTCAGGATATTCTCTATTACTCTAACCTACCTCATTAAGCAGCATCCCTGACTATTCTAGGTAAAGAGTATTGTATTCTTTTCTAAGATAAAAGCATGAGTTGCTACTATATTTGTTTAGATTCAACTTTATTGGACACAGCTTAGCTTTGACATTTACAGACATGCGTTAGCTTTCATTTCATTGCAAGATAAAAGGCAACCTGGTATTTAGTTTACCTGCAAAAGGCAGTTAGGAAGCCCTAGAGGAACCTAATTAAAATGCAGCACATTTCCAAGGCACTATCTCTTGCTGTGTTGCCATAGAAACAATGAGGATTTCTGTCACTGACCTTTGAGGGAATCTGAGGATATATTTTCCTAAGGTTCATAAGAGAAGCCATCCTAGTACATTAACCTATAGTTGCAGATCAACAATATGTTATGGAAATTCCCTATGCAATCCTAGCTGATTTTAAAACCAAATTATACTAGCAAAACTTACTAAAGGCTCAAACTAAGGGCTCTTTGAAGGAATGTGGTTTAACTGCTTCCAATGTAAGATTTCAAATAATTAAGGATAATGTAGTAGCAGCAAAACATTAAAGAAAACCGTAGGTAATTACACAAAGAACATTGGAACTAAAATCATATTTAAGAATAGTTTTAGTGTTATATCTATTCTATTGCATTTTGGGTTCTTCAATTCTATGCTTATTCAAAGGATAAAACGAACATTACTACATCAAAAAACTACACCTAGAAAATCAAAGTTTATTATACAATATTAAGTTGCTACTATTATTTATATATACAGATTCTTAATTCATGCCCTTTACTATTTATTTATAACTTCATTCATTCCATTACTAAATATGTGTAATTGACAATCTTAGTTATACTTTAATTTATATTTTTTGGCTATTTGACATAAGCCATGTAACCATGCCATGATTCAACATAGAAATTTACAAAGCCCACCTTACTGTAGACTGCTGCTATTATTGTATCAACATCTGTATCTTCCACTGAAAATAAATAACTTAGTTCTATAATCAGAATATGCCTGGTTTAGTTACAAGGAAGTATCTATCAGGTGTTAATTTCTCTTAGAATTAGAAATCTTGGCCAGGCATGGTGGCTCACACCTGTAATCCCAGCACGTTGGGAGGCCGAGGTGGGTGGATCACTTGAGGTCAGGAGTTTGAGACCAGCCTGGCCAACATGGTGAACCCCATCTCTACTAAAAATACAAAAATTAGCTGGGCTGAGATGGTGGGTGCCTGTAATCCCAGCTGCTTGGGAGGCTGAGGCAGGAGAATCATTTGAACCCTGGAGGCAGAGATTGCAATGAACTGAGATTGTGCCATTACACTCCAGCCTGGGTGACAAGAGCAAGACTCCATCTCAAAAAAAAAAGAAAAAAATAAATAAAATCTCTATGTATCTATAGATATATGTTTATAGATATATAGAGAGACATATATATAGATGAGACATATGTGTATATATGTGTGTACACACATATATAGATGCACATTGTGTGTGTGTGTGTGCGTGTGTGTGTGTTTGTGTTTGTATATATGTTTGTCTTCAGGCACCTGAAGAAAAACAAATACACTAGCAAAACTTGCTAAAGGCTCAAACTCTAGTAAGTTTTCTTTGGGTGCCTGAAGAAAAACAAATATCTAATAATTATACCTAGAAAAGTGGAGCTATCACCCCATCTCCTAGACTTCTGGAAGTTCTCTTAAATAGCTCTGTGTCCTCGCTGAGACACTACGTAGCCAAGGGGCTGAGAGCACAGACTGTGGTACTGTAACGTTGGGCCTCTTGGCTCTGCCACTTACTAGCTGTGTGGCCATGGGAAAGTTATTTAGCCTGAGGGTGCCTCCGCTGGCTTATGTATAAAATTAGAATCATAATGGAACCTATTAAGGTTGTTTTGAGAATTAAGTGACTTAATATTGATAAATCACTTACATCTATATTTGACACATAATAATTTGTCTAAGTATAGCCAATAACAGGGACAGAGCTCATATGAAAACGTCAGCCCTGTTGCACTCTTGCCCTGCCCAAGACAGAAAAAACTAAATGGGAAGAACGCATTCCAGATAAAACGCAGAGTTCCATTAGTGTGTGGATGAGGCAGTCTGTCAGGTTTACAGACTGGAAAAGAAAATGTGTTTTCTTCCTCAGTATAGATTTAGACGGTACCATCTTTGAGAATTGATGGTTGTCTTTGATATGTGTGAATGCGTAAGTGTGTTTGTGTTTAATCCAGTAGTGAAAAGGAAAAGCTGTTTTTCTTTCTATATACTCACTCACGACACTCATTATTTCCAGAACACTTCATTTCTACCACCACATGTGTGTGTGAGGTGTGTTTTCTACACCAAGCAATTCTCCCATTCTTTGTGGCTATCAACTGGTTTTCCCGTAATTCAAATCGGACATTATCTACCTGGAGTTAGCATTGACCCACAGGTTAAGGGCTCAGTTTTACAAAATTTTCCCCCTCCCCACTGAAGATGACAATCACAAATGATGAGCCTTCATGTTACTCATAACTTCTGTTTGACTTGGCTACAAATCCAAGGTCTCTGCGGCCCTCTCCTCAGATTTGATAATTTGCTAGTGTGACTCACAAACTTCAGGAAAACAGTTTGCTTACTAGATTACCAGTTTGTTGTAAAAGGATACAACTCAGGAACAGCCAGATGGAAGAGATGCACAGGGAAAGGTATGGGGGAGGCGTGGGGAGCGTACATGCCTTCTCTGGACACACCACCCTTCCCAGCACCTCTGCATGTTCACTTACTTCAAAGCACTCTGAATCCTGTCTTTCAGGGATTTTTACGGAGTCTTCATCATGGAAGCATGGTTGCTTATTAACTCAGCTCCTCTTCTCTCCTGTCCCCAGAAGATGGAAATGGGGCTAAAAGCTTCAAGCTTCTTATCATGGCTTGACTTTTCTGGTGGCCAGCCCCAGTCCAGGAACCCAGCAAGAGTCCCTTCATTAGAAGAGAAGATACTACTCTCGCCCAGGGACTTAGGAGCTCTGTGTCAGAAAGCAAGGTCAAAGACCAAATATTAGAATAAAAGATGACCCTAGCACCCCTACCACTCGGGAAATTACAAGGGTTTTAGGAACTCTTTGTAAGAACTGGAGGCAGAAACCAAATACATATTTTCATATATGTATATATTTATTATGTCACAAATAGCTACATACTGGATGAGCCAGAAAAATGAGGAAACATATTTGCATCTCACACTGGTGGAGAGATTCTGAAAAAGACCCCACTTGGAATACCAAACCACACATTAGATTGTTCTGCTCCCAGTTGTGTGCCAAAGTGCACTCTGAACTGTTTTGGTAAAGCCCACTGTGGAGTCATATGAGGCTGAATAACTTGGGAGAATGTATGTCTGCAAAATAAACCTAGGACCGGATTGATCCTCAGGCCACTTGGCAGGTGAATGTCTCAGGAATGAATGTGAGACAAGCTTCCTGAAAAGGCTTCTATGGCTTATAGAACTTTTTGTTTAAGTGCTTGGTCCCAAATAAACTATTAAGATATATAAACTACAAAATAATTCACTGCTCATAAATAACTACCAGATAAATATTAAGGGAAGAAACACTTTAAAGGAGAATTTGTATCCACATAAATCCCTAAATTCATGGTCACAACTTTACTAATCTCAAAATGTTCTAGGTCATTGCTATCAGTCCAGTTTTGTCCTCTATTTCTTCATTTAATACCAATACTTCAAATTTTTTAAAATATGCTGCTTTAGGTAGATTTAAAATATATCCTAACAGCTATTTTCTAACCTTCCTGAAATATACTGTTCAATACAAAATCCTTTCCTTGCTTAAACATAACTTAAATAAAACAAGAAACTTACCATTTCTCTCCAGTGTAAGATGACACATGCAGCTTAGCACTCTGTAGTAGTCGCTTTTCAATTAGGTAAAAAAGGAAGTTTCTATGGTAACCATCCTTATAGTCACTCATTCCTCCTTCCTGCCTCACCAGTGCCCAATATATATCACATTACTCATGAATACATATAAACTGCTAGCATGTCTAGAATATTCTGTCTTGAAATTATACTTTCTACTAGTGACTTTTAAAAATGACTATGCCCCAGAATAATTAAAAAGAGAAACCAAAAAAATTTTAAATTAATTTATATAGAATTTTTCACCATCAAGTTTATTTTCAGCACCCATGGGGAGTTAATAGATCTTCCCTGAAAGAGAAAAACCTTTCCCAAGGAAAAATCCTAGAATTCATATATTTGGCAACATTTAAAAGACATCATGAAATTTTTATCAGTCTGGAGAACTGATCTTCTTTAAGGTGACCCTGATAGTTCCCAAAGATGTTTAAAGGCATATCCTGGAAAAAAGGGGAGCGAGAGAAAAAGGAATAGAGAGAGATAATTTTTGATGATTTTTTTTTAAAAAGTGGGGACTGCTGAGTTAAACAAAGTTAACCACATTGTCTCAGAGCCTTGAATGCGCTAATATGTGCTGAAGTGTCTCATGGATCTCTAAGGAGGATGTAGTCAAAATCATCTTGTACACTGCTTCGTTCCCTGGAGCCCACTTTTTTTTTTTTTTTAATCCCAGCCACTTAAGGCACCAGTGCATATCAAAACACACTTCTGGCAGTGCTGCTTCAGGGAATTCTCAGTGTAGGGTTAATGTTCCATTTTATCTACCTCTTCTAAAATTCCTCCTTCTTCAAATGCCTATTAAAAACTTTACGTCCATTGTGTCAGTTCTCAATTCATGTTGCTTATAAGCAAGATTTTTATTATTAAAGTGAGATGGGATAAAAATAAATTTTTTTTTGCAATGAGACGACATTTTATTTTAATTCTCACCATTTATACACAAACACAAGTTAATAAAACACATCACAAAATGGTAAAATTTCATAGTTAGTATTTATAGGTGCATAGTTTCATGCTCACATATTTTTAAGTATTATATATATTAACAAATTTCACAATACATCATTATTCTTAGACAGTATCATTAAAAGACACCTAAAAATCTTATAATATACGATAGCAAATCACTAACAACTTCTGAACAACAGCAACAAAAAAATAGTGAGGATTTAGAAATAAGTGGTAGTCACTTAGGTGTTTTTAATTTGTTTTAACATCATAGATTGAAGCCACAAAATCCACAGCACACAAAGACCCTGCTACCATGTATTCACTTCAGTGAAAGGGAAGCACCGAAATGCTGAGTGGGGGCAGGTACAGATACTTCAATCACTGCTGATGGAAGACTTCAAAATACACTGTAAAAACTTTGAGAAATGTCATGACTGGGCACATTGGAACTGAGCACTTGTACAAGATGGAATGTCTGTCAGCAGATCTCAAGAAACTGGGAGCAAAGATATTTCTTAGGCTTCAGGTTCGTAGTCTTGATACCCTTCCTAATATTAGAAAAATAAAAAAGACAGCACGCACTGTTAGTGTAAGTTTCAATCATGCATCAGCACTGACAGCCAATGAGATAGGAAATGGCTCATCACTTACATTAAAATTTACACTCAATGTTTTTGCAAATATTCTGCAATATACATTATCTTATTTTTAATAGTTCTGTCTTTCCTGTCCGACATAGATGTGAATTGTGGTAGTAATCAGTTAAAATATCTAGGTTCTAATCCAGATGTGCCATTTAATGATCATATACCTAGGCTGGTAGGACGAATAAGTTGGACTGGCTGATTCTCAGTTTCTTCACCTGTAAAATGTGAGAATAAAATCAAGCGGTCTATAAAGCCTTTTCCAGGGCTAAGATGCTCTAATTCTCAGAAGGAAATTAAGACGTTTGAAGGCGAGGTACATTTTCCTTACTTTCACTCTCCCCCTTGAAAATTTCATCTTCATCTATGGCTTCAATTATTAGTTGTATTTCAGACCCCAAGCTCTCCATACAATATCTGGAAAGCATCCACAATACAAATATTAATGATGTAATTAAAGGGGTCAGATTATTCCTCCTAAAGAGCAACTTTAATAATATCAGGATTCTGCTTAAAAACAAACAAATAAGCATATCTTCAATAACTGAAGTTGTTTTCTGAATAGAACACAAACTTAAATGACAAGAGTGTCCTAATACTCTATAATTTGTCTTTGACCCATAGCTGCAGGTTCAATCTATCACCATTTTCCTTGTTCCTAAGCTTGAGTCATAATTATTTACTGTTCTCAGACATATCCATTTGCCTTCTCAGACATATATGCCTTTGCTTCTGATATTCCCTTGTGCCAGAACGTCCTCTGTTTGTTTTGCCCTACCATATCTCTTTCCTTTTCCCACCCAGATCAACATTACCTCCTCAATAAAACTTCTCCTGATTGATTGAAACAGATCCTTTAAAATGTTATACTTTTTAGTATATCTTGTATATCTTTGCTCCTGTGATGCCTGGTACATAGAAGACAACCAATAATGTTTGTTAAAGGAAGGAATCATAATGAAGAAATGAATGAATGAATTTCTATTTTTTTCATCAAACCTACCAGACTGCAAACTCCTTATATCCTGGTAATGTCAATTACACTATAGTTTTCTATAGTGTTTAGTACTGTGTCTTGCATTAAAGACCCCAAAATATTGGAAATTCTTATTAGGCAAACAATTTAATCTCAATTTCTATAAATTGAATTATTATTAATATGCTGTGTGTGTGTGTGTGTGTGTGTGTGTGTGTGTGTGACAGAGTCTTGCCCTGTTGCCTAGATTGGAGTTCAGGGGTGCCATCTCAGCCCACTGCAACCTCTGCCTCCTGGGTTTAAGCAACTCTTGTGCCTCAGCCTCCCAAGTAGCTGGAACTATTAGGTGTGTTCCACCATGCCTGGCTAATTTTTGTATTTTTAGTAGAGATGGGGTTTCACCATGTTGGCCAGACTGGTCTTGAACTCCTGGCCTCAAGTAACCTGGTCACTTTGGCTCACAAAGTGCTGGGATTACAGGTGTGAGCCGCTGCACCCATCCTTGATATGCCTTTTAATAATGCCATGAGGAATAATACATAACCTAACCACAACATATTTGAACTCAATTTTTAATGGAACCATCATACAGTTTCTTTTCTTGTGATATCTTCGTTTGGTTTTGATTATCAGGGTAATATTGGTCTCACAGAATTAGTTGGGAAATGTCTAAATGACTCCTCTTCTATGTTATGTAAGAGATATTAATTGGTGTTAACTAATTAGTATTAATTCTTCCTTAAATGTTTGGTAGAATTTACCAGTGATGCTGTCTCAGCCTGGGATTTTCTTTGCATGCAGGTGTTTTTTTTGTTTTTGTTTTTGTTTTTTACTAATTTAATCATTTAATCACTTCACTGTGTTACAAATCTATACAAATCTATTCAGATTTACTATTTCTTCTTGGGTCAGTTTTATTCATCTAACAGTATTTTCTAATTTCCCTTTTGATACATTTTCTATTAAAATACTTTTGTTTTCAATCAAAATAAAATTAACAATCATACGTTGTTTAAAACGTTACACTGGAATATATCAATTGTTGCAAATCATACATTTATCTTTTCATTCTATAACTTGTGTGGGTAACTTTTATTTTACTATGCAATCATCCCACTGGAAATGTATGGCAAAAAATAATTACCTTCCTTTGGCATTCCGTTGATTCCCCTACCTTTCCATTTAGAAACTTATTTTAGAATGTATAGTTTCTAAAAATATATTCTCTAATGCAGGGGTTAGTAAACTTTTCCTGTAAAGGGTCAAGTAGTAAGTATTTTAAGCTATGTGGACTTAGGATTTGTGTTACATCCTCTCTTCCTCCTCCTCCTCTTTTTTTTTTTGGACCCTTTAAAAATGTAAAAACCATTCCTAGCTTGAAAGTTGTCCACGTAATGAGCATGTAGAGAGCAAATGATTCTCACTAAGCAAGAGAAATATGACAATGACAGGTTTTTGGTACTGTTAGAAAGATTCAGCTTGGACTCCTACCTCAGAAGGCATTTCATAAGCCTCATTGTCAGGATCCACAGGCATATCTTGTAGAATTCCTTCCTGTGGGGCTCCTTCTTCATTCTAATATTTAAAGTGAGAAGCAAAAAAAGAACATGATGAAGTAGCATTTTTCACTTTTAAAAATCAGAACCATGTTTTGGAAAAATCTTACATATAGGGATGTTGGCCAGGGATGTTGAAAATGGCACACTTTAATATAAGTACTGGCATTCTAAACTCTGCAATGCCTTTGGGGAAATATTGTGGCAACATTGGTTACCAACCCTCAAAGTACGTAAAGTTTTTGCTCAAGTAATTCACTATTTAGGAAATAATCCACAGCTATAGTCCAAAAATATTCTTCACAAGATCAATGACAGCAGGAAACTACATTTTTACAATTGTTAAATAAATGTTCAATGAATAATGAAGAGTTAAAAAATTATTGCTGGGTGCTGTGGTTCACTCCTGTGATTTCAGCACTTTGGGAGGCTGAGGCAGGTGGATCATTTGAGTCCAGGAGTTCAAGGCCAGCCTGGACCACACAATGAAACCCCAAGTCTACTAAAAATACAAATAAATAGCTGGGCATGGTGGCACATGCCTACATCCCAGACACTTGGGAGGCTGAGGCAGGAGGATCACTGGAGCCTGGGAGGTAGAGGCTACAGTGAGCTATGTTCATGCCACTGCATTCCAGCCTGGGTGACAGAGCAAGACCTTGTCTTAGAAAGAAATTATCATTCAGCTACTCGGTAGATTATGATAAAGACATGTATTACTATTACCTGAGAATTATGTAACAACAACCTATTTATGGTATAATATTTAGCAGACTATAAAGTGTTATTTGTATTATAGATACAACCTACACACAATTCAGATGCAAAGGTAAAAAGTTTGGAAGAAAACACAATAAAATATGAAAGTTATTTTGCTGGATAGTTATGTATGTTATTTTGACTTTTTTCTAAGTGTTTAACTTTTATAACCATTTATAATGTAAAAGCATACATATTTAACACAATGATTTTAAATGACAATGAATACACAAATTCTTTTCTGAAATTTGAAGACTGAGACTATACATATTGAAGGGAAATAATCAAATACATGGTCAGAAAATTTTTCTAGGTATCTCTTCCTAGACAAAGAATACTCAAAACTCAGCCTGAAATGGTCATGGCTTTGTTGATATTCTTCACTAAATACCTTTTGTTGCTTTGCATTTATTTTAGCAAAGTAATTATGAGATAAAGTTAACTGAAAATTCAAAGAACAGAGAGGCAATGTGAGCCTAAATGGACTCAGAGGAAGGGATCAAATAATCCCTCAGCCAATGAGGCTGATTTTCAACAACATGTCTGATATAAAGAAGCCTCCCCATGTCTTCACATGAAAGTGACTGACAGGGACACTGAAGTATAAGGAAATGGATGACGGTAAGAAAAGGTCAAATTAAAGATCATGCTTATGGTAGGTGGGCAGAGAAGCTTATAGATCATTCTGCCCTTGCCAATGCCCTTTTTATAAACTAAAAAAATCCAAATAATAGATACATTAAATAAAATATAAACCACCCCAAACTACCTCACTTTAAAATGTGGAGTAAAGACTGTTTTCATAGTGTTTCACTTCCTGGTACAAGTGAAGGATACGGGCTCTGCTGCGGGGTAGCTAGGCACAAGGCTTCCATGTCACAGGACTTGAGCTCAAGTCCTATCTTCTCTAGATGACAGAGCTTTTGTGATGCTGAGAAGTTTCCTATGCTTTTTTTCTGCGTGTCAATTAGCCTTAGTGATCAAACGGGGCAGCCAAACCTTCTTTACAACTGGGAGAAGCAAACGACATCATTAACTTTCTCATTAATATTTAGATTACTGTTAGGATAGCCAAGTATAAGGGAAATAAGGCAATTTTTTTTCATGCATTTTGAAACTGACAGAGATTTGATTTTCTAATATAATTTGTTAGAAAATTTTGATATGGACCAGACAAGTAAATATGGCGGACCTAGCCTGTTTGTTTGATGATCGAAAAGGAGTTGTTACGGCAGAACTAAGACTGATGGATGTTACTGGATATGTTTATATGTTATTTGGCTGAACTTTGAAGGATGTATGCAGATGTGCAGGTTAGGTGAGTGTGTGTGTCTACATGGTTCCAGCCTGGGTGACTGGGTGTGTGTGAGAGCACCCTGCAGTGATGGAACAGCATCCTGTCCCGGGTGGGTTCCCATATTGCTCCCTAAGCTGCCAGGAGAGGGTCCAGCCACCTGCGGTCTCCACTGGAATAATTAGGTAAGTTATTTGACTTGTTTGTATTAATATTTCATAAACGTATATATAGCTCACATTAATTTCAGTGTTTAATATCAGAAGTGATTTATCTTTATTTAGGAGTTTGATGGTGTTTTTGTGACCAGAAATTTGCCATAGGAACTTAATTGTTGCTTATATCAATTGCCAATAGTAAAACTGGTTTTGTTATACATTGTTTTGCTTCAAGTCACAGTTTCCAAGAAACTATTGATGAAGTTAAGTGAGGATTTACAGTATTATCTGCCCTCTGATGGAAGTACACACACATCACCATCTTAAACCAAGACCATACTAGTCTAAGTGGGCTATTGTTCACTGACCCAATAACTTCATCAAATGGGAACAAGTTACCCTAGGGATAACAGCGCAATCTTATTCTAGAGTCCAAATCGACAATAGGATTTATGACCTCGATGTTGGATCAGAACATCCTAATGGTGTAACCGCTGTTAAAAGTTTGTTTGTTCAACGACTGAAGTCCTACCTGATCCGCGAGGTCAGGAGATCAATAGTATCCTGGCCAACATGGTGAAACCCCATCTCTACTAAAATACAAAAAATTAGCTGGATGTGGTGGCGTGCCTGTAATCCCAGCTCCTCGGGAGCCTGAGTCAGGGGATTCACTTGAACCCAGGAGGCGGAGATTGCAGTGAGCCCAGATCACACCATTGCACTCTAGCCTGGCGACAGAGCGAGACTCCGTCTCAAAAAAAAAAAGAAAAAGAAAAAAAAAAGAAAAAAAGAAAAGCAAAGAAAAGAAAAGTCCTACCAAATTTGAATTTGATTCACATTTAACTATCACTGACAACTTACAGCAAATATAAGGGGCGAAAAACATGTTCACTGTTCACATCACTGGCTACAATCAGCAAATTTTGCACTGTGAAAAACTACACAAGACAAATAATACATCTAATTTCACCAAGTAAATTGCAACAAAAAAGAAGTTAGTGGGAACCTACAGATTAAAGTAGAAGTGAGAGAGAATTAGCCAATTGCAACCTAAGAACTTTATTTCATTCCTTTTGGGATCCCAACATAAGCAAATGGAAAACACGTATGAGGTAGTTGAGGAAATTTGAACACTGACTGGATTTTTAAGAATTATTGTTTATTTCTTTAGGTGTGAAGATATATTGCAGTTTTACTTTAAAAAGTTCTTAACTTTTACAAATTAATTGTTTACAGATCAAATAAGATATCTATCTAGGTTTGGGTTGGGGGAAACTGGTGGGATATAGAAGAAACATGAGTTTAATATTTCCTCAGTTTTAAAAAAAGTATACACAGTAGTCTCCTTTTATCCGTGGTTTTGTTTTCCATGGTTTCAGTTAACCCACCATCAACTGCAGACCCAAAATACTAAGATATTTTGAGAGAGAGAGGGAAAGAGAAAGCAAGACCATACCCACATAACTTTTATTCTTATTATAATTGTTCTCTTTTGTTATTAGTTACTGTTGCTAATTTCTTACTGTGCCTAGTTTATAAATTAAACTTTTTCATAGGTATGTAAGCATTGGAAAAAACAGTATATGTAGGGTTTGCTGCTATCCGCAATTTCACGTGTCCAAGTGGGGCTTTCGGAACGTATCCCTGCAGATAAAGGAAGATTGCTGTATGCTCATTTCAATGGTTATTTCTCTAACTATGTTTTTCTGAATATGATATGTGATCTCAATTTGTTGACTCCATAACATTCACAGATTTTAAGCATACGAAAATATTTGGCAGCTATCCCAAGAGAGAATATAACAACAAACACTTCATATGACCGTCAGACACAATTTTATCCCTATACCTGTATATTTACTGTTTCATAAGCCCATCTCTAAAACCATTAAGTGTTATCTATAAAGAAATATCTTACTAAATTTCAACTCCAATTTATAACTGTGCCTAATTATAGTTTGGCTGTAACAAAAAAGAGCATTAAAATTTGCATTTTATGAGTATTAATGACTTGTTTTCAAAATGTAATCATACTTGAAGGTATGAAATGCACCTTGTATTTATTTTTACCACAAACAAGAAAAAAAAATCTTCCAATATAACAAATGTTAAACACTTTTGAAAAAAATCAATTTTTTTCTCAAATTTTTATTACGATATTATATTAACCCAGAATATGTTAGGGCAATAAAATAAATGAGAAAAATGTCTTGATTTTGGTATATGCCAGTATGCTTAATAAGAGATCCTACAGGGTAGGATATAGAGATATAGTAATAAAATACCTTTTATTCTCTCTCTACTACACCCTATCCCTGGAATATCTGTAGAGTTGTTTTTTTTTTTTCCCAAATGAGATTGTTTTACGAACAGTGAAATAGACTCAATTCAGTATCTTATATCTGCATTTGACACACAGAAAGAAAAATGGTTATCAAAAAATTACAATGGAATGGACTTTCATTGCTAATAAGGACAGACTTAAAAGCTATATCAGGAAACAGATATGGCTGAGACTGACCTCTTTCACCCTAAAAAGCCTATTCAAGTTCTTTTTAAATAAACCTGTAGGGTTGAATAGCCAATATAATCAATTACCAGCTGGTACTCGTCTCAGCTGAAGTGCTCTATAAAACAGATCATGCGAGGAGGCTTCACTGCTAATAGTTTATTGGGAAGTACAATTCCAGGGAAGTGAAAGTGAAGGAAAAGGGAAGTGATACAAGGAGAAGTAGGAAAAAATTTCAGCTTTTGTCTTTAGGAATACAACTACAGAATTTACATAATCTTTTTAAATTTCCTGGTTTG